GCGTTGCACCCAAGGGAGAGGGGGTTTTTGAGCCTCTGCTGCTTGTGGCTGGGTAGGCAGCCGGCGCACAGCTGGGAGCCCTGGCAGGCCGCGTCCGCACAGCTTCTGCTTTGAGCAGCTTCAGAGCTGCACAGCAGCACGTGGGCAGCACGTGGGACCAGCCCTGTGCTGAGCTAAACCAGCACCTGCCCACGCCGTGGCGGCTGGGGACGAGAGGAAGGCCACGCACTTGGCAGCAAACAGATGAACAAGCTCTTCGGCATCCTCCTAACGAGGGCCGTGTCCTCTGGAGAGGTAGCCCCAGAGGCCTTGCAGCTCCTTTCTGCTCTGGGCAGCGTGAGCTCACCAGCTTTTCTGGAGAGCACCTGAGACCGTGCTCAGAGCAGCCTCCGCAGCTGCGGCACCGCTCCGTCCTGGTACCAGCTCCTTCCCAGACTGCTCTGCCGGGGACCGAATGCCGGTTTTGCCCACCCTCCCAGTTCAGCCCAGTCTAAAGGAAGCCGGGAGGGCCCCCACCGGTAAGAAATGCTGCCGTGCTCCGATGTGCTTCCAGGCAGAGCAGCAGCACTGCCGTGTGCTCGTGAAATAATGATACTGCCCGGAGTCAACTGTGGCACCAATGCTCTTCCCACCCAGTTCCCACGGGAGCTGCAGAGGCGTTCGAAGGGAAGGGGAAGGGAGGGAAGAGAAGGGAAGAGGCAGCTCTGAGCTGGGGAGGTGTGGTGGAGCCCGCGCAGTTGTGGGGTCAGGCCGGCAGCTCAGCGTTCTCACCACTGCTGTTGAACCTCTGCGGCTTGTCTGTGCGCTACCAGGAATGAGGCACCAGCAAGAACAGTGTCTTTCAGAGGCAGCACGTGGATTTCCCCACAGCCTCCAGATACTGTTGCATGTTCCTTAGCAAGCAGCAATTTCTGACTCGGTGGCATCCTGGTGTTACTGTTCTCTTCCTTTGAAGCGTTTTCCCTGCCAGAGGCAGCTCTGCTGCAAAAAGCTGCCTGTCGGGGTTACTCATGCAACGCTAAGTCTGCCGGTAGCGTCCAAGGTTGCATTTGCATTTTTGCATCCCCCTCCCTTTCAGCTGGGGACCTGGGATCATCCTCTCCTGACTGCAGCGGGGAGCCGAGCCCTGCCAGCAGCGGGGTTTAAAGCTGATGTCTGAATCTGTACCAGAAGTGTGGGGAAAAGGTGCCATGTGCAGAGAGTGCCCCGAGCGTGCTGGCTGCTCGGATCTCCCGACGCGTGCCAGCGGGCTTCCCAGGGCACGTGTGTGCTGGTGGGGGCTCCACAGCAGCCGTTCGGCTCAGTTTGACTTTCTGAAGCGCTGAACAACTTGTGCTTCAGATGTGGGGCTGCTTTCCCAGAAATGCAGACGGGCAGCGGGTTAACGGCTCTGCCATGCTGTCCTGACGTTGTTGAACGGGCTCGTGGTGCCGCGTCCTGCCCGCCGTGGGCTGGAGCAGCCGGGCAGTGCCTGCCCCGGGCCACGGAGGCCTCGCCTGCCGCCAGCCACCGCGTAGGTGATCCATGCTATTCCGTGCACTTAGCTGCAGCAGGCAATCAAACTGTAGGCATTTGCTGCTATTACAAATGAATGCTTCTTGCCAGGGCTGTAAAATAGGCTAATAAATTACACTGGATATTATTTTCTTTGCCAACAGATTTGTAAATACAAATCAGTAGAGCAGCCTCTTCTCTGTTACAATAATAAATACAATCTCCATGGTGGTTTCTTGTCTTTCTTGTGAATTTCTGAAGCAGGACCGTGTCCTCCTGGAGCTGCAGATTTCAGCCTGGATTTGAGTGTTCCTGAATAACGTTTGGGAATCGGCATGAGGTAAGCGCTTGGACGCCACGCTGTGGGCTGGTTCTGTTGGTTTTAGCTCCCTGGCAGCTACTAAGAGGCACTTGATGAAACTTGGAAGAGGTTAAAACAGGTAAAGGTAAAGGACAATACTTCTTTACACAGTGTCTTCTGGAGCCTTTCAGGGTCAAAAAGGGATTAGAGAAGTGTATGGGCAGTAGCCAAAGGGGCAGGCAGAGAAGGAGAGGGGTGTGCTGCTACTACCCATCGTCCAGCAGCTGTGGGTGCTGCAGGCAGACCGCAGGAGGTGGTCACACGTGCGTGCTTCCCCCGCGTCATCTCTGCTGTTGGAGATGTGGCGAGACGGCTGTCAGGCTGACCTCACTGGGACATCTCTATGTTCAGACTGGAGGATTCTCTGATGTTTCCTCCATCCCTGCTCCAAGGAGCGGCTGGGAGCAGTCTGCACTGGCGCTCTGGACTGGTGCGGGTTGCTCACTGCGCTGGGGCTGCAGCGCGTGGGCTGGCCGTGCCGCTGCCACCACGCCGTGAGGAGCCACTGCCCTGGGTCTGGCCAGTGCTACTGGTGCTCTGGGGTTGGTCACTGTCCTGGCAGCGCTGGGAAGAGCTGGTGTGCTGCAGGCAAAGCTGGCAAGGGCTGGGTGGTCGCTCCAGCAGTTGAGGATCACCTGTGCTGGCCAAGTCACTGGGACTTCAGACCAGCCTTGCTGGCGGGAGGGACAGGCAGGTGGCCTGTAGCCTTCAGGAGAGGGGCAATGACAAGTGAGAGCAGAAGGAAGACCAATAGCATCATGAGATCGCACAGCCGTTTCCTAGGTGGATGTCTGCAGCCTGGTGTCTACGTGTTCCCCAAGGCTTTGCTGTGAAATGAGCTGATTTTGGCAAATCAAAAAAGCCCTCAAACCAAGTGCTTCAGCTCAGGCTCAGAGACTCGGGCTCGCTCCTGCAGTCACCTTGGCCTGATACCTGGACCTTGTTTGTTGTCTGTTCTCAGCTTCCACCAGCAGTGCAGCAAGACCCTGTGCCAGAGGGCGGCTGGGGACACAGCTCACTTCTCTGCGGCTCCTGGTAGAGAGGAGGCACCGTCAGCTCATCCCAGGCTTGCGTGGGTGGTGGAGGGGTGACGTGTCCTGACGGGGCCAGCTCCATTGCAGTGCTGGGTGCTCTTGCTGGTGCTGTTGAATTTCTGGGTGGTTTAAGTCTCCTCACAGAGCCTGGCGTGAGCCTTTTGCTGTCGCTGCAGTCGTGTTGTGGGAGTCTGCAAACAAAAATGTCAGAGGCAATTCTCCCAGCGACTGATTGCAGCTGATAGACACCATGTCCTCAGGTCTGCTGTCCACGCTCCACCCCAGGCCCTGAGGAGGCTGGACAGCTGCTGGGGGATCACGGGTGGGTTTTGGACCTCTCAGGCTGAGAGGGAGGAAGGTGGGGCTCAGCTTCAGCAACTGCCTAGTGCTTCACAGCACATGATAACCACGAGGCCACCCGTCCTGCTCACCCGCCAGCACTCCTGGTACAGAAGCTTCTTGTAGTCTCTCCTGCCCTGACAAATGCGAGGGCTCTCCCTCCTCCTGGCCCACCAGAGAGACTGCATTCCTCCCTCAAACCAGAGGTGGCCAGAGGTTGTGCCACCTCCCCAGAAACCCAGGACAGTGCAAGGCTGGTTTCTAGCCTAATCCTCATGTAGGTTTTTAGCTTAGTCCTCATGCCAAGCTTTGCACTAAATCGTCCCTGTGGGAAGACAGGGACCAGAGGAACCGGCGTGCCTGCGTCAGGAGCCCTGCAGTGCTGGAGGGAGGCAGAGACGGGAGGGTCCCTGTCCTGACGCTGCCCCAGCGCGGGTTTGATGTGGGCACAGCAAGGCGCTGGCGCGTTTTTGGAGACGCCACTGGGCCGGGGCGTTGCGGAGCCGGGCTCGGGCTCCGGCACACCCAGAGACTGACTGTGGGGCAACCAGCAACGCCAAGATGGAGAAAGCTGATCTAGCTGCCGAGTGCTGCTGCTTCTAGAGCTCCTGATGTCCTGTAGCTTTTGTCAACCATGGTTAATAGTGGAGAGAACTGGGTGTGGGTGCAGGCGGCTGGGGGGCCTATGAAGAGGGAACAGAGAGAAGCCCGGGCATTCAGAGTGAGGTGGACGACATACGGACCCTGCCGGAGCTGTGCTTCCAAGTGGCCATGCAGGAAAACTTTTAAGCAGATGGAGTCACTCCTGAGCTGGACTTTTCCTTTCAAAGCAGGGGACACCAGCCCGCAAAGGTTTGAACCTGCAGCTGCCAGGCGCTGCTCTGGCCCCAGCCTCCACCCGGACCTTCCTCCTCACCATCACAGCCATCCCACTTTGTCTGAAGTGCTTAGTGTTTGCGGTCCTGCAAAGGGAGCTTGTGCCCGAGGACTGTCCCACCTCGGCTGTCGGGGCTGGCTGCTGGCAGGTTCAGGGCCCAAAGCCATGAAGGTATTCAGAAG